GTCAGTTTTACTTTCAGTTTTGGTGCTTACACCAGACTTGCTATTTAAGAATGCATTCTACTCGGGCTAGATGATGGATGAAGCTACCTTTCAAAATTGGCCATATTTCATCATTACTCTCTGACGTAGAATCTAATTAATTTTATAAATGTAGCAGGAAAATGAACTTTATGCATTTAATCAAATAATAATTCAGAACGGAGCCATTTTCGAAATAGGTAGCTAGTGATCAATACCGACAGGAATCCGATTGATGATAACTTTAATCAAATTTAAAATGTTAAGTTTACAACATCCAGGGGACTGGTTTGTGGTTTTACACGCAAGAACCACATACTAGCTCTCTCTCTCTCTCTCCGGGTCATCCCCAACATTTTCGCTGTATGTTTTTGTTATCTAAACTATTGATATTGCCCCAGTATATTCGTCCTGCTGTGGTGAAGTCTCGAGATTCCTTGTAAAGCATTCTAGGGAATACCCCGAGGACACGATTCGTGAGAGAGGCAATATTTCTACATGTGGTTTCTATCAATGTAAGCGTCACTGACGAATATTTACACTAACAGTTTTCATGTCACAGTTGATTCGCTACTCCAGACCTTGTTTTATGTATACGGATTTTCTAGGTAGATGAGTCCGGCTGACCTATAAACTATATAGCCAGGTTTTTTTTTCTCTTGGAAGACGCAGAAAAAAATGTTATGGTCTCGCCGTGACCTGATTTCTTTCCATGGAAGTCAACTGTCTACCCAGGTTAAAGCGTGTTGTCTCTGTCTTAGATTATAGGTCCCCTGCACACCTTTTATTTTTATTTATATATCAGAGGAGACCGGGACGTTACTATTGAAATATTTCATTAAATTTAAGTCGGAAGGTATTCATAGACTTTGCGGTGAACGTAAATATCATAGTTCGGGTAAATAACAAGGGTGGACACTATAAAAAGGAACGTTTGATTTATTTTTGAAGCTCAGATTGAATTAAGATTCAAGTGATTAAATATGATTTAAGCCGCCACATATTTTCAGTATTTTATTTCAATATAAACGTAGATCACTGAGACTAAAGACACCAAATTTATAAAACAAAACACTATCTCGCATTAAATAACAAATGAAAATGTTACATTTTACACCCAAATTAAATTAATCGTATTTTCGAACTAGAAATGAAAGGTTGAATTAAACAATTTGTTGATTATAATGTAGTTATTATTCAGAGTATAACTCTTTAGGCATGTACCACCATTGGTCACATTACAAAGCGGTAAATGTTTTTAAATGAAGTTCAAGTAACCTTACCTATAAATGTACGATGTATCAAACTGTCCATATCTTTGACAGAAATGAATCAGTATAACTACGTCACATAGTCCGTGTGTACATGACTGGACATGATTGAACATTTCACATCTTCACAAACTGTCAAAATATTAAACATGTAACGCGTTTATTTTATCAATCGTACTTACGCCATAACATGGACGATAAACGTCTTTGAAAGGGGATATCCTAACTTATTTAGTGCATATTTATACAAGATCAGAATTACCGATTAGATAAGATTTTATGGCAATAAAATCAAAATAAATTTAATTTCAGAAGTACCTTTGCTTTTATATAACATATTCTATACATAGTTCAGAGAGTGTTCACATACATGGTCGGGGTATACAGTTTCAGGGAAAACAGTTTTCAGAAAGAAAGGCTTTTATCAGATGTGAAGCGTTCTATCATGTACAAACATGTACTCAAACGCACTCTGTGACGTAGTTTTTTACTGATTCATTTCCGTCAAAGATATCAACAAGCATGCGGTAGTGATAGCGATTGATGTATGTAATAGAATATTAGCATTTACTGGTGAATGGAAACAGGAGATTAACTCTATACATAATCCAGCTTTATGATACCTTTACATGAGGTCTAGTATTAATAGAAATATAAAGATCTACACAGACTTCCAGCAAGTGCAAAACCTTGTTCAGCTCCAGCCAATGTCAGACACGATCGGCGCATTGTCCGCCGCTCCTTCAGGCAGACTATCTAAATGGAATCAACATGTCCAATGAACATTGTCGAGAATGTTGAAACATTATTAGACACACAAATATTTTAATAATTAGATTTCGCGAACAAGCGCTGGTTATCTGATGTAGAATTGGCGTCGCCTGGTAATGCATCTGGACAGGGACTTATTGAATTCCCACTATTATTACCACGTTATGTGATGTTCAATTTCATTTCCTAAATCCAAAATTAGACCAGTTCTACCTGATTGATCAATTTAAATATTGAATCATTTTCTAAAAATTATTTTTGATATTTATAGCTTTTGCCTCTAATATAAGGTATAGTGAACTATCTAGATGGTCGTAGATACTGCAGCCCATTATATATTCGTCTAACTCGATAGAGCATGGCTGCATGTTGTTTGGCTTATTACACGCGAGATAAGGATGAGTGACCGGTATACACACACCCCATGATAATCTCTCCTCGCCATTAACGTAAATCACAGACAGGAGATGGACAGGCTCCTTTATACACTATAAACCTAATTGATATTTACATACATGCGTTTTATCATGTAAGACAACATTACTGATTTATGAACATTACGTAATGTGTGTTTAATGCGAAGCGTTGCAATATTCTTTAGCGTGATATGTCAGTCATTATGACGTCGAAGAGCATTACTTCCAACTGATGAGAAACAGCACAATTTAATATTGAGTATATTATTACATTTCCTTAGCAGAAACACACAAGTATTTACGATAAAACAGTGATTTTGATCCTACCATTTATTGCAACATATGCATGTTGGAAACGGTCTTCATTAGCTTGGTCTAATGTTCGCTCTCCTCTGTCGTTCCCTAGTTGTATTTGCTGCTTTTACTTATCAACTTATTTACTTCTCTCTCTTTTGAACTCAATTATTTGTTTTAGGTCACTGGGAATCTTACTCTCGAGACGTTCAAACTTCATTTCAAATTGAATCCTACTATAGTGAATATCAGGACCCGCATTCTTGAAACCGTTCTCATGCTCATGCATGGATTATTTGCTCAAATTAGCTTTCGTGTAGCTCACTAAATAATGTCAAACGATCAAAATGTCAAATCTAAACACTGAAAACAGTATTTGGCTATAAGTCTCTAAATATTCAAAATCAATGACAAGATAAAAATGGTAAATAATTTATAACGGGAAGAATAAATAAGGCTTGAGCAAACAATTCAATTCTTGAGCATAAGAACGGTTTCATGAATACGGTCCGATTTTAACGAATGATGTTCGGGTTAACGTTCCGACGTCACTGATTGTTTGATGCTTACTACAGTTAAATTAAGGCGTGACTCAATGAGATAATCTTACTACGGACACGTTTACTCATCAATTAGTAATGGAATCATGCTATACTCAGGATTAGGGGTGCTAAAAATTTGTCTTGTGCCAATTTTAATCCTCAATCAGCTCATTCATCAACTTGACACTTGTTTTGTCGTTATTTCTATATTGTGTTCCTATGAATGATCTATCAAGTACTTCTTAAAAAACTCAAAGATGGCTGCTCAGCGGCTGTCTTGTTTTTTGCAATCAGTCCAAAAAAGCGTTCCTAACAACATGCTCATATGAACTTTCAATAACAAGAACTATATATGACTGACACAGAACGGATAACGGACCACGGACCACGCACGCAGTGTGAGGAGGACAGCCGACCATCTGATGATGGTGCGCTAAAAATGTTATTAACAAGATGCAAAAGCGTGCTATCCTGCATTTTATTTTGATTCTAAATAAATAAGACAGAAAATGCAATATGGCACGAGGTAGGTTGTCACATCATCTTCGTGTATAGTTTACTATGGATAACCTGTCTGTCCATGTACTGTAGAACTTCTGTTAGTCTCTAAAAAACTAACAAATACCTTTTCACTTTGTTTTTACCCGGCATTTTACCGTTTTAAATCACCAGCGGCAAGCACGAGCAAACCTGTTTTGCCTTTGTATACCAAGGAGGAAAACATCAGGAAATTGGGAGGATATCGTAAACCATGGGCGCAAACAACTGTTTCACAACTGTAATTGCTACTAAAGTTTATTTCAAGGGCAGAGTCTGACCGGCTTTAACATCCTGTGAGAGCCAATATGCTTTTTTGGAAGCTGGTGTATTTCAGGGTAGACTTTTCACCACTCCAATTAATCGGTCCCAATTACCACTAGCACGGCGTGGTTTGAACGTGTACGGCTCGGAGGGGCAAATCAGCACCAGCTCAACCTGTGTTTTACACATTATCCTTTATTTAACGTACATGCCTTGTGATGATCTGTTCTATATACCATCGACCGACCCGGAGAACGAACGCGCCGCTTCCTTTGAATGAAGAAATAACATAAGGCAGATGCTGTATCTACATGTTATTACTTGAAAGTCTAACTAATTGTACATAATACACCTTCCTATATAATTCCTCTCTAGTCAGTTTCTCTTCTTCTGGGAAAATTCATTCCAAATGCCTTTTTTATATGCCTATCATAAGGAGCTACGTGGCTTTTATTAAGTCAAATGAAAGAGAAGAGAAGACCTAATGATGTAAATTAAGATATGCTTTATCGTGCGCTCAAGTGCAAAGGACAAAAGATATCAATTTACTAAAATAATATGATATGATTTTTTTTCTCTATCGTATGCCAGAGAAGGTGTCTCCATTAATAGAGTGTGATCTGTGAAATACAGCTAATAACGATTGATTGACAAACAGCTACAATTACCTAACGTTACATGCCGAAGGTCAAAGTATTTGTGACCGCATCAAAGACATCACAAGAAGCTGATCAGAGGTGGTTTTTCTTTTCATGTACAAATTACATGGTAGGTCGGCGCAATACCTAACCCTGTAAACAGAACACCAGAGAAAATTAATGTAATTATGATGTAGTCAAGATACATGGAGACGTTTTTTTACAATATGACACGCCTCATAGAAACTCATGCCACCAGCACTCCCTAATATTCCCATGAAACGAGGACACACCCCTAACACAAGTACATCTCCGACACCAGTAATACCCCGACACCAGTTCTCCCCCGACACCAGTACTACCCCGACACCAGTAATCCCCGACACCAAGTACACTAGTACAACAGTACACCACGACACCACTACTACCCCTGACACCATTACACCACAACACCAGTACACCAACGACACCAGTACTCCCCGACACCAGTACTACCCCGACACCAGTAATCCCCGCCACCAAGTACATTAGTACAACAGTACACCACGAAATCAGTACTACCCCTGAAACCATTACACCACGACAAAAGTACTCCCCCGAAACCAGTAATCCCCCGACACCAGTTCCCCCCCGACACCAGTACACCACGACGCCACTACTGCCCCTGACACCATTACACCACAACACCAGTACACCAACGACCCCAGTACTCCCCCGACAACGCTACTACCCCAACAACACTACAACACTACACCAGTACACCACAACACCAGTACTCCACCGACACCAGTACTCCCCGGCACCAAAACACAAGAACTACCCCGACCCCAGTAATCCCCGACACCAAGTGCACCACGATACAACAGTTCTCCTCGACACCAATACACCACGACAACAGTCCTCCCACGACACCAGCACACCACGACACCCGTACCCCCCCGACACCAGTTCTCCTCGACACCACTACCCTTGACACACTTACACCAAGACACCAGTACCCCCCCGCCACCAGAACAACCCCTTACACGAGTACTCCCCCGACACAAGTACTATCCCGACACCAGCGCACCACGACACCAGTACACCACACCACCAGTACACCAACGACACCATTACTCCCCGACACCAGTTCTTAACGACACCAGTACTCCCCGGCACCAAAACACAAGAACTCCCCCGACACCAGTAAACCACGACACCAGTTCACCTCGACACCAGTGCTCCCCGATACCAGTACTATCCCGACACCAGCGCACCACGACACCAGTACTATCCCGACACCAGTCCACCACGACACCACTACTACCCCTGACACCAGTACACCACGAAACCCGTCCTCCCCCGACACCAGCAATCCCCAACACCAAGTACACCACGATACAACAGTTCTCCTCGACACCAATACACCACGACAACAGTCCTCCCACGACACCAGCACACCACGACACCCGTACACCACAACACCAGTACACCAACGACCCCAGTCCCCCCCGACACCAGTACCCCCCCGCCACCAGAACAGCCCCTTACACGAGTATTCCCCGACACATCAACATCCCCGACACCTTTACTTCACCGACACCAGAACAACCCCTTACCCGAGTACTCACCCGACACATCAACATCCCCGACACCTTTACTTCACCGACACCAGAACAACCCCTTACCCGAGTACTCACCCGACACATCAACATCCCCGACACCTTTACTTCACCGACACCAGAACAACTCCTTACACGAGTACTCACCCGACACATCAACATCCCCGACACCTTTACTTCACCGACACCAGAACAACCCCTTACACGAGTATTCCCCGACACATCAACATCCCCGACACCTTTACTTCACCGACACCAGAACAACCCCTTACACGAGTACTCCCCCGACACAAGGACTATCCCGACACCAGTCCACCACGACACCACTACTACCCCTGACGCCATTACACCACAACACCAGTACTCCCCGACAACATTACTACACCAACAACAGTACAACACGACACCAATACACCCCGACAACAGTACTCCCCCGACAACACTACCACCCCAACAACACTACAACACGACACCAGTACATCCCCGACACCAGTACTTCCCGACACCAGTACACCATGACACCAGTACTCCCCGACCCCAAAACAGAAGCCCCCCTCCGCCACCACTCCCCGACGACACCAGTCCTCCCCGACACCAGTACTTCTCGACACCACTACTCCACGACACCAGGACTCCCCGACACAAAACAGAAGGACTCCCCCGACACCAGTTCCCCCCCGACACCAGTACACCATGACACCAGTACTCCCCGGCACCAAAACACAAGAACTACCCCGACCCCAGTACTACCCCGACACCAGTAATCCCCCGACACCAGTACACCACGACACCAGTCCTCCCCCGACACCAGTACACCACGACACCAGTTCACCACGACACCAGTCCTCCCCCGACACCAGTACTCCCCGACACCAAAACAGAAGCACTCCTCCGACACCACTACTCGACGACACCAGTACTCCCCGACACAAAACAGAAGTACTCCCCCGACACCAGTACTCCCCCGACACTAGTACTCCATGACACCAGTGCTCCCCGATACCAGTACTATCCCGACACCAGTACACCACGACACCAAAAATCCCCGACACCAGTATATTACGACACCAAAACACCAGTACCACACCGACACCAGTACTCCCCCCC